GCGTCGTCGCGGGGAGGAGCGCAGGTCATCGGAGAGGGAAGAGGGCGTCGTCGCGGGGAGGGAGGACAGCGTCGGAGAGAGAGGAGCGCAGGTCCTCGGAGAGGGAAGAGAGAGTCGTCGCGGGGAGGGAGGACGGAGTCGGGTGTTGGGAGGAAGCGGAAGGTCGAAACCGGCGAAAACCCTAGGTCCCTCTACGTCCATTTATATATATATGGGGGTAGATGTTGCAATAAAAATTTTGGTAAGTACCAAGTTTAATTAATAGGAGTAACATATAAAAAGTTATCAATCAAGTGATTAATAGTCAATGAAATCGAATATATTTTTAGTTCAATTTTATTTTTTTATAAGCAGGATACTAAAAATATTCATTTAATATTAAATAAACTATTAAATTAAATATAACTGAATATCTGAATGAATATTAACCAAATCGTTTATTAAATATTTGATTCGTTTCCTGTAATCGTGTCTAATAAACACGTGTTAACCTCCGGAAAGAACTTGCCCCTGAAGTGAGGGAATTCGTGACGTGGCTGATAATATTCCAGTTATCCAGTATTATGTGGAATGTTTCGAACCGTATGAGACATGTTTTTAATTATATTTTTCTTTGACGGTTGGGAAACTTCGTTAGAGGACTCACGCGACGTGTGAGAGCGCGACTTCGAACAATCACACTGTTGAGGGGACTCAATTTTTTCTAAATTTTCTCCTCTTATTAGCTTATGTTTTTTTTTGTCATATATATATATATTAATATCACTAGTTCTTTACGCGTGCGATGCAGAAAATAGATAATGAGGATGAGGTAGGGAAGCTGGAAATTCAATTTTAACTGCAGAAATGATATATATATATATACATAGAGCATTGCTTCGGTGTTTCCAAATTAACATTTTTTAGCATTTTTTATTTGGAAAAAATAATTAAAACTGTCTAGAAAGATGGAAGGGTATTTTTGTCCAACCAATTTACATATTTTCCTAATTATCCTCTTCCAAAATTGTTCTTTGTTTTCTCCATCTTTGTTCTCTCTCTTGCTGCGTCAAATCTTTACCGCCAGAGTCATCACCGAACTCCACCCGACCCCCTCCTCCACCCGTGCCTTCTCACTGACCTTCCGCCCTCTCCTCCGCTCCGGAGACATGTCCGCCTTATCCTTCCTCCTCGAACCCAACCGATCCCCTCCTCTTGTTGCTATTTTTCTTTTTTAATTAATCATTTGCTTTAAGGTGTTTATTATGATCCCGCACTCTGAACTTCGATGATCAATTGTTATGTTATTTTACAAGTTGTTCTATGTATCAATCTGAACCATAAAATTTAGAGAAATAAAAATTATTAAGGAGAAACACAATCAGATGACTGACTCTACGAAAGTATAACTTTGATGATATTATCTTTTTCAACAAAAGAAAAAAATTAAAAAAGGAATTTTTAATTACCTTACATATTTCCTCCCTCGATGAAATTAGTTGATGTGTTGAATGCCGCTAAATTTTGGAAGAAAAAATTGATATTCTGATAAAAGAAATTATTCAAATTTTGTGGAAGGGAGGCGTATACATTATATAAGAAGAAAAAATTGAATAAAGTTTCGTGGTCAATGATCTCAAAGATCTTACATCTGTTTTATAACTTAATCACTTTGTATTAGTTCCTAAATCATCCTTATGGTTAATTTAAAAGTTCTATCTATTTACTAAAATGCCAGTGGAATTTCTTTTAACTAACATTTCCAGTTACATTTCCTGCCATCGGAACTCCCAACTGAATTTTTGGGAGCACCGAAGCGGTCGGCAAATATATAACGCATATTCTTCTGATATTTTTTGAAAACATGTTTTCGGTTTCAAATTCATATTTACTTGGTTAGAATTTTGATCTTCTAATCATCTAAAAATGATGATGTGGTGATGATCACCTATAAATTAATAATACAAAATTTTCATTGAGGCCCCATGATTTATCCTTGTTAAATAAGGAAACCGAGTCATCGGTTTCTCGGGTGAATATATAAAAAGGCTAATTGTTGATTAAAACCCCTGCACTATTGCCCAATTGCTGCTAACCCCTTTAAGTTTCTGCTATTGTGAATAGACACCCTATACATCGATCCGATTGCAGATATACCCGTAAGCGAATTTTTTTGGCTCACCCTCTGAAGGTCTACTTGTCAAGAGAATTCCATAGTGGCCTTATCCACAATTAGGAGTCCGTACAGGGGTCTATCCTCAATCATCCCTGCATGAAGCTATTTTGTGCTATCTCTGTTCGTTCTCACCTGCACTTCGTTGGTAACAATACCCCGACTTCTTTCAACACTCATCGTGCCTTCCCTCTTTCTCCAAACTAAACAGTGATTCTCTCTCCTTTTTGATGAATTCACTTGTAATTTCTCCCTGATTTCTTTCTAAACTTCGATGGGCTTTTGAAGAAGTTTGGTTTTTTAACCGAGTGGGTTGTACGTTCTCTGTCGCTCGCTTTCTCTTTAATAAAAAAAAATGGCGAATCCTCTTTTTTTAGTGATGAACACTGTCATTATGTTGTCAAGATTCTGATGCGTTTTTTTGAAAAGATTTGAAAAAGAAATTATCCATTGATCTCATGCTTCTTCCTTTCTAAAGTTGACCTGAGTTAATGTATAACAATGGTAGGTTGTTTCACTTCTACGAATTTCTTGATGAATTATTTGTTCATATTGGTCCAAAATTTTTGATGGGTTAAAGAATTAAGTTTGGTTTCTTTAATTTGCCAGAGGGAGAGGGTGTTCACCATTTCGGTCCAAATTTGACTCGGCTGCTTAACAAAATTGGCTGCTTACAAAATGGTGGATATATTACCCCCTTTTTTTCATTTCTCGATGAATTCCGTGTCATTTAATGAAGAATAAAAAGTTGGTTTATTCTACTGACCTTAATTCAAATTTTCCCTCTTAGTTGCTTAAATTCATATATTGTCAAAGATATGTTCCTTTAGTGCTGGATTTCTTTATTTATGGTCATTGGTTCTCCGTATATAGATTTCTTAAATCTATATATCTATATACAATTACTAAAAACTGTTACCTTTCAAAAGGCCACTTGACAAAAATAACACTTGGCAAATTCTGATTTTTCAAATTTCCTTAAAAAAATCACAGTTATATCAAAAAAAATCGCAATCATTGCTCTCATCTACTTCTGCTATTAATGCTCCCATCTACTTCCGCAATTTCCAAGCACATTAATTGAATCAATTTCCAAGCATCTATATTCTTCTGCAATTAATTGATATTTTTTTAAAAAATTCCACGCATTCATTTCCAAAGCTCCCAGCTAACACAATTTCTTTAAACAATACATTCAATTTGATGTTTCGTTTTCAAAGCATTCAATCAATTAGCATTCAATTTGATCCTTTAAACGATGCGTTCAATCAATTAATTGCATTTGATACCGCCTCTTCGGGGGGTTATTCATTGGTGTAAATATTGGGATAATGAGATAATTTTTGGAACACCACTTTTTGGTCTTATTCATTGGTGTAATTGGAACTGGAGTTAACTTTCTGATGTTATTGGTTTGATGGGATAATTGGGGGACAAATACCCCACTTTCCCCCAAATTACCCCAACTATATAAACATCCCTCACACCCCATCCACAAAATTACACCAAATGGCTTGCTGGAACAAATTGGGGGTAATCTTGCCCTCCCCCCTCGTATCTACTCCTCCGACACCGTTGTTTTTGTATCGATTGTGTTGTTTTGGGAGGTTCCTAGGGTTTGGGGTTGCTTGAAGATGACGACAACGAAGAATTCGGCCAAGATTCTATCCTAAATAGTTTTCATCTGCTGCACTCTTTGTTACTTTATTTATTTCCTTCCTGTTCTATGCTAGAAGGGGAAAAATAGAAAGAAATCATAGATGGGTAAGCTGCTTGCCTGATCAATCAAGCGATACTTTTTGTTGTGTGAATCCGGAACTTTGCATGTTCTTTTGATGGTATGATACCATCCCAAAGTTAAATAAATGCTATGGTAAAACTGTTGCCTGTTTTTTTAGTTGTATGATAGTATTCAATCTTAAAACCCACAGTTTGAGAGAAACAAATTGGAGAAGGAAGTTATTTCAGTTATTCAGTAGCATATTGGCATGGAAAATTAGTATATTCAACATAAAAATGCTCAATAATTAAGTTGCAGATCCTTATAATATCTCTAAAGTTGAACAAATTGACATAGAGGATAGTTGTCTGGCTCCACATTATATCAGATTTTATGGAGAGTATATACGTTTGAGGAGTATCATTTAACTTTCACCCGTTCTATGGTTTTTATGACTTTGTTATTTACAAAATTGGGTTATTCAATTCTGATTATTGTTATGCTGCATATGCGCCTGTCTTCCTTTTTGTTTGCTTAGCTGCTAGAGCTTGCTCTTGTATGAATCCTTTGCGCTATTTGTGTATCGGTCAACATAAAAAATAATAAGAAACACCAGTTTTCAAGCATTGCTATCGACTAGTAATATAAATGTGCAGATTGGGGTTTCTTAGTAGATGTCACTGGTTTTTGTTTCCTCAGTAATGATAAATCCTCCAAATTTATTTTCCTTTGAATAAGCATATGCTCTTTATTTGCAGGTTCCGATATACCTGCTGATGTCTTTCTTATTGAAGATTGCCCTCATGAGTGGTGGAGATCTGGTGGTGGTGGTGCCAGAGGGCTTGGGTGAGCGGAGGGAAGGCGTTGGAGGTGGTGGAGCTCGGGTTCGGGCGGTTTGGGGTTGAAGGAGGTGGTTGTGGGGGTGCTTGGCGGCGTGTGGTCGGAGGGGGAGGTGGTGTTGGGGGTGTTTGGCGCGGTGAGGGAAGGTGAGCGGAGGAGGGTGGTGGCGCAACGGCGGCCACAATTCGAGCTGTTATTTGAATTGTTCCAAAAAGACCCATTTATCTTGTTGTGATAATTATGAACATGAAGGTTAAAACCATTTATCTTGTATTGTTGTGATAATTTGATGTTGAAACTATGTACTTGTGAATTTTCTTGTATTGTTGTGATAATTTGATGTTAAAACTATGTACTTGTGATAATTTGATGTTGAAACTATGCTCTGGTGATTTGTATGACAGTTGAAAAATTTTGTGTGTTATTAAAGATTTTGGGGTTGTATGTTTGAACAATTATTGCAATTAAAAAATTTGTTAATATAGCATAAATATAAAAAAAAACATCAAAATATTCAAAGATTGATTAATATTAATATTATTAATATTAAAATAATCTTAAAAATAATATTATTGTATATTATAACTATTATTTATTTTTTGATGTTATATTAAGTTAAACTTGAACTTAATTGAGCTTTAAATATAATATTATAAAAAAAAGTCATACCAATTGTCCCACTCAAATTGTCCCATTATCCCATTTTACCCCAATTTATCCCACTCAAATTATCTCATTGGGTAAAATTACCCCATTGGAACAAATTACCCTAATGAATAACCCCCCCTTCGTCTCGTGTCTCGGACTCATCCTCTTCCCGCTTTTCCCGCTCCCTACTCCTCCGCCGGCCGCCCCTGCAAGAGCCTCTCTTCATGCTCGCTCTACAAGCCCCCACCATACCCACCTCGGCCCGCCACGTCATGCCGTCGTTCTGACCGCACGCGAGCCCCACCTCCCGCTTCTACGCCGTCTACCGCATCGCCCCCCTCGACCGCCGCCCGGCCCAACACCTGCACCGCCGCACCCTGCCCATCTCCCGCTCCGTCTCTTTGATCACTAACTGAGTTCATAAAGATCACTTTTTCCCTTTTCAATCTTCGCACGTATCTCTATGGCTGCTGATCTTAAAGTTGAAGCCTTGAAGGTGCTCTTCTTCTCAAATTCCCAAATAATTTTATTTAATTTGGTTTGAAAGATTTTAGTTCTCGTAGATTAGATTCTTGATACCTAAATTCTTAGGTTTCTTTTCTTTGAGCAACTAGATTAGTAAATTATCTTAAATCACCTTAGGGCCTGTTTGGATTTGTAAGTGGTGAAGGGAAGTTAAGGGAAACTGAGAGAAGGGAAGGGAAGAGAAGGGAATGGAGTTCCCTTCCCCTTGGTTACACCCCAATTTGAGGGGTAACAAATTTTATATTATTAGGGGGTGAACCAAGGGGAACTAGGGTGAATTAACTTCACCTCCTAAGTGTTCCCAAACAAGGTGAATGGAAGTGAATGGTTCCCCTAATTCCCTTCACCCTCATTCCCCTCAATCCAAACAAGCCCTTAGGTGTATGTGTTTGTATAATAGTATTCCGAACTTAGGATTACAATTGTGATCACGGGGGTCAGTGAACATCATCTTCTTCTCCTTTATACTGTTTCATTATGTCTTTGAAATTAACATCATTGTCTTGTGATCAAATAATTTCTTTGGTTACTCATTAATTATGTTGTGGAAAATTTTCTGGTATTTTTATTCATCATATTTCAAATTATTGCTGAGTTTTCATGGAAGTGAATGAAATCTAGCTGAGATAATTGTGGCTGTGTTACAGAGGTGATATGGCAAATGAATATAAGAGGCAGAGAGGAAATGGATGATGGACCTTATCCTGAGCGTCCAGGGGAGCCAAATTGTGCTTATTTTGTTAGAGCAAGGACAGCAACCTCTGAAGGAGCCTCTCAAGACTGACGTGGCCGTGGAGCTTGGCAGCCCTCCCCCAGCAAACTCCCAACGCCTCCCAAGCCCCTCCCCTAAGGCTGAGCTGGCGTTGGGGAGCTTCCGAGCTCCCAAGCGCTCCACAAATTTGTGGAGCGCTTGGGAGCTCCCAACTACAGCAGAATTTTACAAAAACCCCCCTTTAACAAAAACCCTTACCAGCGATGATGTCGAGGGTTTGGCGCAACGATGATTGTCGAGGGTTTGGCGGCGAAGAGGCCTCCGACGCCGTTGCCAGCGATGATGTCGAGGGTTTGGCGGCGAAGAGCAGGATGCAGGTCGTCGTCGAATGGTGTGATGACATCGTCGCCGAAGGGTGTGCGGTCGTCGTCGCCGAAGATGAGGAGCTGCGGAAGTGAGATTTGGGTTTGAGATTTGAGATCTGAGGGTTTAATTTGGGGATTTTATTATCGGGTGGGGTGTTTGTTTGAGAACTATTGATATTTGGCATAAAATTTATATGTATAATATTTGAGAACCTATTGATAGTTGATATTTTACCGTTGAGTTGAAAGAGCCGTTAAAAAATGGCTGTTGAAAAATTTTACCGTTGTACAGTAAACAGTAAAAAACCTCTATAAATTCACAATTCACAATCCACAATTCACAATCCACACAACTCTTTCATAAAAAAAACTATATAATTTCCTATCAAATTACAAATCTCATGGATCCCTCCCAAAACAACTACTATTCGTCACTCCTTACCGGTGAAGGATCAACCTTATACTCGCCGTTCTATACAGAAATCGTAGAAAAAGGTCATCCCATCGAGTTATCACAATCCGCAACACGATAAGTGTCATCCCAAGTTCCTGATCCGACAACAAAGAAGAAGAAGGCTTACACGCGGTCCGAAAAATGGACTGTCCACGAGGATAAGCTTCTTGTATCTGCTTGGCTGAACACGAGCCAAGACTCCATCCAAGGCACAGGGCAACACAGATAAGTTCTGGCACAGAGCTAACGACTACTTTATCCAATACTCCACCGATGCAACGAGTCGCACACCAAACCAAATGATGCACCGTCGGTCAACGATTCAACTGTCGGTCAACAAGTTCTGCGGGTGCGTTGCTCAGATTGAAGGAAGACAAAGATCAAGTTCTGCGGGTGCGTTGCTCAGATTGAAGGAAGACAAAGATCTGGTACGGGAATTATTGACCAGGTAAATATTTAACTTATATGTTTTTATGTAAATATTTAACTTATATGTTTGATTATTCTAAATTTAACTCTTGTGTAGACTGCAGAAGTAAAAGAATTATACCAATCCCTTTATGGTAAGCCATTCGTGTTTGACCATTGCTGGGTTGAGTTGCGTCATCACCAAAAGTGGAGCCAACAAATGGAAAATTATAATAAGATTCGATCACAGCCGAGAAGAACCACGAACTCTGATTCCTCACCAAACAATTCCCTGCCAGCGACCCCCATCGAGTTGAACATTGACTCGGATGATGTTATAGCAAGGCCTGAAGGGAGGAAAGCGGCAAAACTCAAGAGGAAACAAAATGTGGAGAAATCTGAGTCCGCTAAGTCCATTATGGGAGAGGCTTTCGCGTGGATGAAGCAAACCAACAAAGAAAAAATGGAGCTAAAACAGAAGAAACAAGATGACGATATCATGAAGATCGATCTCTCAACACTCAATTCAGTTCAACGTCAATACTTTGAAATGCGTTAGGCAGAGATTTTGGAGAGGTGGATGTCCAAGGGTTCTTCCTAATTATCATATATTGTACTCGCATCGCATCCTCATTAGTTCTTCCTAATTATCAATTAGTATCTTATATTAGATTTATGATTGTACTTGAAGTTGAAAATTTTGGCATTGAATGAAAACAACTACTTTATTAAAAATGAAATTGGCGTAGTACAACAACTTGAACTCCTTTTCTGAAATACAAGAGGTTTAAAAATAATTAAAAGTAATGGGTGAAATATTAAAATAGAAGAGGGGCTTTTTTGATATTGTTGGAGCTCCTAACTAGGAGCTTGTTGGAGCTCCATAAAAGAAGGAGTGCCTCCCAAGGTATAATTTGTTAATTTTTTATTTTGAAAAGCTTGAGAGCTCTTGAGAGCATGCTGACTAGGACTCCCAACTGGGAGCTTGCTGCACTTGCTCTTAGAACTGGCCTTTGCAGGTTTGGAATGACTTGCAAATTTAACCATCCTGCCAATAGGAAGCTGGTAACTTTCACACGCCTGCTTGAATGGCTTAGTTTCTTTGATGCTTTGTTCTTGTCCGCTTTTGATCTATTTTTTAATTGCATAACAATGAGTTGATGGTTGTTGAATTCCAGTAATGGCATGCTATGATTTTTCTCTGAGCTTCTGTGGAGTACATGTATTATTAATAATATTGGCAATTTAGAACAATTGCAGAGTCTTTACATGTCTTTTGTGATTGCATTCTATGCTTTGAGGTATTTTTTCTATTTTCTTTAGCACACTTATTTGGACTATTGAATTTATGTTTGATGTGTATTTTGTGCATCTCTTTGCAAATTTCTTTGGAATTATTGCAACATGTGTTGTAAAAGCATCATTAAACTGCTGCTAACTGCATTTTTGGTATGATGCTTTGGTTAGTAATTATTCTTCTTCTGAAGAAAGCTATAGTTTATTCTATATGTAGCGTGGCTATTGCCCAGACCATTTTTGGGGACATGAAAAGTGGAATTTGTTCGTTTTTTTTCTTAGGCCGATCCACATTAAATTGATATCATATTGTAAGCTTCTCAAACAACATTCATTTGATTAGTTACATTAGACTGCTTAGTCCAATGTTCCTTAATGTAGTCGTCAAATTTGTTATCACTACTGCTGGCATCCTATACACTATACATCAGTCAATATTTTTCTGGTTAAATCTCTCTTCCTTCCCTGAGGCGAGCCATAAAGTTTCTCTTCCTTTGAGTTGGTTGCCCGTCGTTGTTTAGAATTGATTTTGATAATGATCACAAAAACTGTTATTAGGTACCCTAATTATTAAAATTAAACCTTCACATTATTGAAATCGTTATTAGGCCAACAATTTTCGTAAGGTGATTTAAATAACCCCTCGAAATGCTACTTCTTCTCTTAATTGGAGGGATTGATTTGAAACAACTACTGAGAATTTGGGAAACTTTTATTAATTTCAATAAAACAAGGGGCTAATTTCGATATTATTTAGGAATAAGAACACCTAATAGCAATTTCACTGATTTGAGAAACCAGTTTCAAAATATTAAATATTTAAGGGACTAATATTAACTCTTAGTATTATTTCTTGCTCATCTTTATTTAATTCTAATAGTATTTCATAGATGAATGAATTCTAAATATTCGGTTCACTTCCACAACTAATCTTTTAGAAATCGTGCTTAGTACTTATGTATGACTAGGAATGCGTTGCCTTATTCTTCATGAAATTCTTAACA